GTTGTTTTACTTTACATTGCAAGATATTGCAAGTGTATTGGGTTTCCCTTCAGCCGTCCTTCATCTCACTCTCTGGGGGTACATGGTGACAGAATTGCGCCAGGAAGTCCAGGCAGAAGTCGTAGTTGATTTGTTGCTCAACCTGCAGGCTTCAGGCATGGGGAGAGACCCTCCACCCAAAATACAATACCGCACCTAGTATCTAGCATGCACTGTATGTTTTTTCTTGTCACCTCGTCCTCCTGAATGTTCGGCTTGGTCGAATACCGGATCACAAAGGTGAACTTGGGGACCTAAGGGCGTGTTAGCTAGATTGAAACAAACACCAGAATTTCCAGCTCACTAACTTTGTGAAGAAACAACGAACACTGCACTCCCAATATGCCACTAGGTGGCTCCTGGATCAGATTCAGCCATCTTCATCCGTGTCCTCAGAACCGATCGCCTCCTTTTGATGAATCCCGGCGAATCCAGCAGCTCGCTGTAGAACACCTGTCACATCCATATGGCGCATGTGCGTGCGCACAACCCAAACAAGTTTCAAGACGAGCCGTCGAATCCAACGAACCGATCTTGCGCCTTGAGCAGGCCAATGCGATCTTCTGCAGCCATCGTGATGGAAAACAGGGCACTGCTGCCCCCGCTTGCTCCCGCTTGAGCAGTCCGCTCCAGGGAAGGACACCAAAGGAATACTAAGATCAGTCCAGATTGGCCATGCACACATGGGGATTGATTGAGGTGATGAGATTTATTGTTGGACCCCGGGCTATTTAAATGAAACCTAAAATACACTGTTGCAATCATGCATGCATGGCTCAATATGGACCAACCATTAGGGGATGCTGTTTGCTCCAAAAAACATGTGCACTGTGACCCCGGAAAGGGCGCCTGCTTCGTTCAAGAACTCTTGGCCAGCTTGTCGTAAACGTTCTCTTTCTTCGCAGAACCCTGGGCAGCACAGGCTGTAAGGGCCCTAGGTTTAAACATATATTGTTTGGAGTGATGAATTGTGCCATCAAGTTGTGAAGCCATTTTTTAAGTTCCAGGCTTCGTAGTAGGCTTCTTTTCATTCCCACCATATTGGATATGGACCTGATTAACACCGATCCCGCAGAGCTGAACCACAAAAACAAAGCTTGTGACACCAGTCAGAGATGAGGCTCCAACCTCTATCATGATCTCTGGGTCAAAGAAGGCATTCACGTCGACCAAGGATCATGCAATCCAGCATCAATGCCAGGTTTGCATGGCATTCGGGTAGCATCGTGTAGCGATCCACAAAAAATGTTTGAAACTGGTTTTTGCCCAACTCCATTGAATGGTCATGGGGTGGTTTGGCAATGATGTTGAAATTATGTTCTCAAAACTCAGTGCGCCAACTTGGTTTATTCATGAATATATGTTTTCAACACCTGGCTTCAGATTTGAGATGCCACCATGCCGGATACCGCTTCATGATGTCGGTTCACGCAATAAAAATGGTCGAGTTCCAACAGCCATATTTATTATAGGCGACGACTTCCAGGGTATATCTATCTACGGCTCTGTTCTTTTCGCTCGTGTAATGAAAAGTAAGCAGTTCAACTGCATCCACCAGCAGGTGCTTTTTTCACGCGCTTTGCGGACAAAGACCGAAGAAGACGAAGAGCTCCACCACATTCCGCACGTCATCGCGCCTGCAGACAGTAGCAGAAGTAGTAGAAACAGATTGAAACAGAAGTAGAAGTAGAAGCAGCAGCAGCAGCAGCAGCCAGCGGTGGTTTCCCTTTCCACTTCTGTCGGGCCTCCTTGCTCAAATGGCCACCACGGCCCTCCTGAGATAGAAAGCAAAAACTTTAACGCCAAAACTTGACAATTGTTTTGCAAATGTCTTTCACCACTGACAACGCAGCTGCAATGCCTCTCCATGCTTCTCCCAATGCCGAAATGGTTTGTGGGGCAGAAGAAGAATTTGGGATAGGAACCTGAGCAGGCCCCCATTCGAAAACACCGTTTGTATGCGACCGCGCTGGACCAAAGTGCCTGGATCCTATCGCGCGCCTCAAGAATCAACTGGCCAGGTTGTTCTAGCCATATGACTCCCTGGGCCTGAGCTACCAATATCATGGCAGCAACCCAAAAGGCAAACGAATTTCCTTCTGTGGTAAAAATCGCCCTCCATTCGTTTGGTCCACCTTGCGCCTGCCACATCAAGAACCTTTGTCCACATGCTTGAACACTTTTGGAGAACACACCGATGATGAGTTTGGTCGGCCTTTCTTGGGGCACTTGTTGGGTACTCACTGCCACTCTTCTCTTTGGCTTGTTTCCTTCTTAATTGAGTTCCATATGATGATGAAACTTGAGGGTAATTGATTGATTCGAATCTAATGTTGGTACCCCCTATCTCTGGCAACACGCCTGTGGACCTGTGAAGGAAGAAACTTGAAAAGATCGATGTTGTTCCTTGGGCTTTCTTGGACCCATCCTTCAGAACAACGTGCAGATTCACCACATTCTCTTGCCCGAATTCGGGCAGACAAGTTCTCCGAATATTTGTCCAAGGCAAACAGCTGCAAATACTTCCCTGCGTAGACAATTTTTCAACTGCTGATCGGCACAATGATTTGTGGAGTTTTGCTGTCTGAAGGCAAAGGCTATCAAAGGCTCTAAAAGCGACCAGCACCCATTGCCAACGACCTTGCCCTCGCCAAAAAAACTTTTCAATATTTGAAGGCCACGACAGTGGCTCGGAAACTGCTTGTCGCCTGGCGAAGAACCTCCCCTTCGTTGGAATTATCAGAAGAATCCGAGCTGCTTGGAATCGATGCCATCACTGTCATTAGTAGCAGTTCTCTTCTTGGCAACAGCGGACCCGGTTGCAAAGTCAAAAGATGTCAAAAACATGAAATATCATGAAACCAAGCAAATTGGCCGATGCGGGCCACCTCACAGCCCCTGCTGCGCCACGAAAGCCATGGAAGCAGGTGAAAGTCGAGCGCATGCCGGTCGGGCCCACCAAGGCTCCGTCAGCTGCAATTGTGTGCAGGCCGTCCTTGCAACGAGCACTGGTATACAATATGAGCAGGAATTGCTTTAGTTCGAGTGATCCCACTCAGAGGCGATTAGGAAGAAGGCGGGGCATCAATATCCCTCTGATTTCATCTATCACAGGGTGTCCAGCCTCGGCCTACAGCGGCCGGCGCAGCTGTCCACAGCCTGTGGCCGGTCCCTTCGCCCACGATGTGTTTGGCAAGCAAGCTTGCCATTACATGAATGATGTTGATTACACTGGCATCGATAGACCCAGACATGCTCTTGCAAACGAAGCCATCTCCATAGGAGAGACATGCGCTTTTCACTTTTTGCAGGCTCCCTGAACCTTAAAAGTCAGGAGGAGCCTTTGCGTGGATGGGTAGAGGCCCGGCGCCTGTTTATGTGTGGACTCAGGGCTTTCTTCTCTACGGCCCCATCCTGCCACTCGAGTCTTGGTTTGATATATTTGGTTGTGAACTTCAATGGAAACTTTGCCACGACTCCTGTGGTTGCTGGGCGAGCTCGCCGCGAGTGTCCAGGCCTGAGGGACGACCCTGAATCGGGGGAACCCACGAACCCCACAAACCCAAACACATTAGAAAAACACTCTCAAGCCGAGCGAGAAGTGAAACGGAAAAGCAGCACGGCTGAACAATGAACATTTGTCTAAGGGGCCCGAGCGCTGCCCGCTTCATTGAGCACAGGAGTCACGGGGCTGGTCTTCGCTTCCATCACTTGGCTTCTCCACAGGCTCGTTCTTACAACATGGCTGTGTCCCTACAACTCTACGATCTGGACAAGCTAGTGCTCCTAGCGGTAATGGCAAATAGGCTGTCTGAAGTTTGTGCAGTTCCTCTCACGTGTCGTGACAAACTTATCCTCGCAAACGCAGCCTGACACGCGGATTGAAACAATGTTCTTTCCTGCCGAACATGCGCTGTGGCATATGCTCTGACTTCGGTCCTGATATGTGTTCTGAACTGTGGTTGCCTCAATGTGGAATATATTAACATGGTATCTCGCGTAGACTCTGGCATTCTATCTGACACAAATTGTGGCATTCTAGTTGCAGATTGAAGGCATGCGGATTGAAATAACGCCAATGGCAAACTGCCTTTTCTTCAAGGTGCGAGCCTTATACGTTGAAACATCAAGCTCACACTTATCTCGGCAAACAAAGAGGGTTCCTGCTCCAAGGCCATCTGCATCCCCAGTCGCTCTGCTGCAGTGCCCTGCCACAAGCTAGGTTGCACTACTGCTGACTGCCGCCCCAACAACATCTTTTCAACTTTGGCCAACACTCAGACCACGCACAAGTAGATATAGTTATTCACGTAAATATCATGTACAAGTATTATACGACAAGGATATTCAATGCAAATCTGGGTGTAGAAGACAGAACTTTTAGTCCTTTGCCTGACTTGCGCCGCACATCGGCTGTCCCACGGCAACTCCGGCGCGGTTGAAAGAGCGCTTAGCATTTTTCTGTTGTTCGGATCTCTTTTCTTGGTTCCAACCATGTCGGAGCTTGGCAGGCCAGCTGCGCAGTCTACACAACATGTAAAGCAACTTAAAGCAACTCATTGAGAATACTGAATGGTAATTGTTGTGTGTTGTCCTACCGATTGAGCACGCTTGCAGCTGCGAACCACTGAACAACACAGAGTGTCTGCCCTGGTCGTCTATTTGCTTGATGGCTTATGAAAGCAAGTGGTGAAAAGAACAGGATCGTCTATCTATATCTATCTGTTTCTATCTATCTCTCTATCTGTCTATCTATCTGTCTATCTACCTATCTATTTATCTTTATATATTTATTTCTATCTATCTTCATGAGGGTCTGAGTGTGTCATCCAAAAAAAACAAGCACACCTGACCAATAGCGTAAGGACAACGACAAATAGATACAAATAGTCATATCAGGAATCCGTGCGTGGTTTGATTATATAGATGCCACCCTCTCTAGATCCTCATGGATGCTCACCCTAGATCTTCTGCAAAGTACCTGCTTCTCCTGCGCGGATCTTCTTCATCAACGTCTCGTAGGCATAGCGCCTGATCCGGCAACTGAGTAACCTACAGGAGTCTACTAATTATTGTCAAGGTGGGTCCTTGAGGAAGTTCATTGTTTGACTTCAAATCGTTTGCCCACGCCATGGCGCAAGATTCTCAATACATTGCTTGGCCAAGAGTTCTGTCAAACCATGTCTTTCCCGCCTATTCTGGTTAAAAGTTGTTTAAGACCCCTCTGTTTTTTAGCCTTTGGACTTCCAACGCTGGAAGACCACAGACTGTGCTTCTCAAACGCTGCACCACGCTCAAAACCCTCAGGACGCCACGAACACCGCGCCTCCCTTGGTACTGCACCGCTTGCCGCGAGAGCAGCCGCCGCTGCGTCTGCTCGGCAGAGACTTGGCGGACCTGAGTGGGAGGTGGGTTCGGTCCACTGCAAGGCGCATCAAGGCGCATCAAGCTTGTGGGGGTCCTGGGCCTGCAGTTCAGTTGTGGTTCTGTGTGTTTTGCGCAGCTTCACTGCTTGGAAAGCATAGACTGACAAGCATGACAAGGACGTTGAAGAACCTTGACTTGTTGAGCCTTTGTCTTCAGGTTCGCATCCGGAAACTAGTGGTGAGCGCCTCATCTACTCGATGCTTCTTCGTTGGGAGAGGCTCACGTCCAGGGCCAAAAGGACCAGTAAACAGGCAATTCAGAAGCCTTCGTGCGCCTTCATGGCTGACTGGCATCCGGAAGGAAGGTCAAAGGCTCGACTACTAGTCACTATAGTTGCATCCAGTGGAGACCAGAGTGGAGACCAACAAAAAACAGCTCCTGAGCAATGGAAAGCATCCAAAAAAAAAACAATTGATGACTCCAAAGAAAAACAAACAACTTGGGAAGCTAAAGTTGTTCTCTTTTGTTTCTGCCTGTCTTCCTTAAGGATTTCCATTGTTTCTTTGGGTCCCATCGAGTTGGATCGTTCCGTTCCCATCACAGCAGCAGTCGTAGGGGGGGTCCGAAGGTGGGTTGGAAAACCGATGGCGACCGTGCCGCGTGCCGCGGAATCCACCGGCTGGGCCCATTTTGGGATGGCCATCGTTGACTTGAAGATCCAAGTAGAAACCTCTCAGAAGTTCCAAGAATATTCCTATAGAATCTATAGCAGTTCCAAGGTCATCACAACTCAAACAGCCGACAGGTCCGCCCAGTTTTTAAGTCCAAATCAAAAGAACACGATCCCGACAGGGCTCCAGTGGTACCTTCGTTTCGTTTCAGTGGGACTGGGGGCCCGGGTGCCAGCCAGTCGGGTCCAGGCCTACCGAACTGGTACGGTTCGGTACGGTTCACTCCAAGAGGCCAATAGCCAGGCACAAACCTTGTCCAGCATGGACACCTGTGATGAAGACGAACCACGCTGATGGAACGAAGCAAGGTGATTCTCATTGGAACGAATTCGGGATTTGAGAAATCACGTGATTCTCATTGGTTCTCCCGACTCTGCTTGTATTGCATTTTCATCAATGGAATCCACCCCAAAGCGGTGCAGGGCAAAAAAAAAGAGCGTCGGACGTCTTGAGAGTTCCTCTCAAAATTCATTTTGTTGGCGTCAGAGTTCATGTGATTAAATTACCGTAAGAACCCCTACGTAAGTGTGTCCACACTGTTTGGGGAAAAAACACTTGTTCTGCTAACCCAGGTGGTGGAGCTCGCCCGAGACAGAAACGCTGCCACCCTTTGGGAGACTGGCCCACCTTCTACCGTATCTGTTCGGAGGGGACCATGGGGAAGCTTGCTCGGCTTCGTGACGATGTCCGAACGAATGTTAAAGGAGCCCTGCAAACTGCTTGGCAGGATTGGCTTCAGCCCACCAATGATTTTTCTGTGTCTGAAACATGTGCATGTGTTTTTGTCTTGTGAACAAACAACATATTTTCCTTTCCCTGACTATGCATTTCCCTCCAACAACCTCCCTTTCCGCGGAGCTGGTCCATGTCAAAAGTGGTGTATACCTTGTAGAGGACCTTGGATACTTCATCAAATCCACTGATATGATCGTGCCCCCCTTAGCGTTGACAAAGCTGTCGTGCATGCCGAAAAAATAACACGTCCACCCTAATGCATGGGCAGCACGTGCAGTGGGCACCTGAGACACCACCGGCACAAACAGCACTATAGACAACTAACCCATTGTTCGGGGATCGTTGCATCTTCGGGATCCTTTTGGATCTTGTCAAAGGATCCTTTCGCTAGAGACCCAAAGACTCCAAACGATACCAAGAGAGGTTGAGAGAGCAGAACTAGGACCCTGTAGTCCTGTAGTGGTACATATATGGGATGGGCTATAGGGCTGTTCAACCTCTCTTGGTATCTCAGGAAGCTTTCGATCTCACATGAGTTCACCCGTCCCATGCAGCGATTCGGGTGCTCACCTCGCCTGTGGTGGTGACGCCGCGTCCAGGTCGCCTGGGAAAGGTTCGAGCCTCCTCGAAGGACCTTTAAGACCGGAGGTTGGGGTCTGCGCCTGGATTACAAGTCTCTACAACTCGACGAACCAATGAGCATGTTAAACAAAAAGAAATATGTATACAGTATGTCACCTTCTAGAGGTTAACCTTCCCTAGGGATCCACTGCCATCTTCTCATGAGGTACGACTGGGCCCGACCCAGGTGCCTACATCAATAGTCGAACACATCACCGTACCTGAGAAGGTACGACTGGATTCCTAGGGCTTTATCCACCTGTTGGCTTTTAGTGGGGAGACCAATCCTCAAAAAGGGTTTTGCAGGTTGTCAACTGTTCCTGGGTAGGATCAAGTGATTTAGAGCTGGGTGGCTTTAAGCCAGCGGGCTTAAGACAGAATGCATTGGCACCAGACCGGATGTCCAGGTAAAACTTGAACATGAAGCACCGAATCGAAACACACATACTTGAAGCATCTCGAAGCCACCAACCAATCAACCTCTCTCCAACAAACATGATCCAAAATTGCTTAGAGGGATCTCTCCATGATCCGCTTTTGAACCAAACACGAACCTCAAATCCTTAAGCAAAAGAACCCTCACTGTTGGGGGGTTCCTCAAGCAGCAAGGACTCCTTTCCTCTAGACTCTCGAAGGCGGATCAAGTCGGCAAGTCCGGAGGTGCATGGTCTTTACACCGCACAACGCCCTCCAACACACACGCAACGCCCTACACATTACGCCGTGGCCAGTTCTCACCCGTGCCCACCATTTTAACTTGTGTCTTGAAATGTGTTCCTTGACCCCCGCCTCAAAACCTCATCAAATCAGCCTTTGCCAATTTGCACTCCAAACCATTCATTAGAAGCAACTTTTCCAAAGGTACAATACAACTCCATACCTCTTCTTGGCCTCGGTTGGTGTTCAACCCTCTACGATAGCCTCTATGTTTTATTGATTCTTTTTGGATGCTGGGATGACATCTGCAGGTGCAAATTTGTACCCCCAAAAAACGTCCGGAAACGTCTCTTTCCGTCCACGTCACTGTCGCGCTTGGCCATGGGCACTTCTTCCTCAATGCGTGCCGCCACCTCTGGAGTCACCAACACCTGCAACCGTTGGCCCTTCCTTAGACGCACCAACAAAAACAACGCCACCAAATCACAAACAATAATCTTCTTTCCGCCTCATCCATGGTTTGGACGTCTAGGCCGCACCTAACTAACAGTTACAATCATCAAATCACAAACAATCAAATCACAAACAGCACCTTGCGTTTGATCAATCAAATCACAAACAATCAAACAAAATGCTTGATCAATCCCAAGATGCTTGATTCCCCGCAGGCGGTATGCACCCTGGGCAAAGTCACGAAAGGTGGAGTCCTGGTGGTGGTTTCGGCGGGGAGAGGCCCGGGCGTTTTTCGGTTCCAAGGATTCCAAGTGGCGAAAAGGCGGTCAACTCCACCAGGCTCAAATAGAATGGTGTTCACCTGTGGCATAGAATGGTGGTTCTACTGAGTCTGCTTTTGACCTCTACCTCTACCTCTATATCGAATTGCCAATGTGTTGGGCTAATCATAAGTCTGTAGGAATCACACGTAAGAGGGACCAGTCAGCAGGGGCGTCCATCTTATACCTAACTAATTACCCTTGAACATGGAACCTGAACATATTACTGGCATTGTAGAGGAACCAATCGACTTCCACTCTGGTCCATGCCGCCCGGTTCCGTGGGTCTAGGAACAAAGGGGGTGCATACCTACCAAAAGAGCCGTGAAACCCGGCCAAGAGAGGTTTTTCACAGGCCTATGTCGCCCATCCCATAGATGTACCATTCTCTCAGACCAGGGTCCGAACGTTCTGGTCTCTCAACCTCTTGGGGGGACCATAGAGGTGAACCTTAAAACAACGCTTTCCACCGGGATCCTTCCGGGTCGACGCCCGTCGGAGCCGTGAGGGGTCCTTCCCCAAGGTCAGGGCGGCACACGCGTGCGCGGGGTGTCGGATGTCGATGCCCGTGGTGTGCACCTGGTCGTAGAAGACCTGGTCAGGTTGGATGAGCCCTTCGTCGAAGACCATGTGCCGCATCTTTGCATTTGAGAGAGTAGTCAGTCATCCATCCGCGTCCAAGTGGCTGAGGCGGGTGAAGTTCCCCAAACTTCAGCAAACGTTTGGCGAGTGGGTAAGAAAAAGACCGCTGGAATGAGAACACCTTTTGCCCTGTTGGTATCTGTTGGTTTGGAATAAGAAGGTCACAAAAGCAGTGCTAATGTTGGTACTGTATAACATAGTACTATTGAGCTTCAAACACATTGATTTCCCAAAATAAGCGAATTGCGGGCCTGTCCAATCATATCAAACGAACTTGGAATGAACTTGGATGCCGAAGGAGCAAGTATTATTGAAAGCGCGCTTGACAACAAAGTACATGAACATTATCCGCGGTAGCTGATACCTCTGAACATGTGAAGCAAGTTTGCTAGCCCTGGTGAGGCTACTTGATCAACTCCCCTGAGGCCTCCATCCCAGCTGGCAATCAAAAGGCTTCAAGACTTCAACACCCTCCACTGCACCTATTGAGCTGTCACGAACTGCTCGGTTGCTAGACACTTCTTACAAGAAATGCAACATGGCCCATGAGCACTATATGTTGCTATACACTGAGTTCCTCTAAGTCTACGGCCCACAAGATGTGTCTTCGCCCGAGCACCACGCGCGTCCGCGAGATACAGGCGTCCGCGCGACGCGCCGCGTGTGACGCGCCGTCCTTTGCGCTGGTCTGACAGGGCACGAAGCGTCGATGAAGTGGCAAGGTGCAGTTGGAGACCTTGACCTGGGTGATCAACACAACGGAAGGGGGAAAAACACATATACCGAACGAGAAGCAAACCGTGTAGGTTCTGAACAAGGACCTCGGCTTGAACATGGGTCAATTGGTCAAAAGCACCAATATGGTGAGGAAAAGCACACACCGCAAAGAAAAAAACAAGTATTGCATTGTTGACAAAAGAGCAAAACTGTCACAACAAGCAACAGCCACAAGCAACAACAGCAGCAGGAACAGCTGAGGCTGGGTGACCGGCTTTTGAAGTTCTAAGAGGATGGCAATCAACCATCCAGGATCACACAATCGAACAGGCTACCGGGCTAACCACTGAATGTCACCCATCAAAACACTGCTTCTGCCAGATGACAACTAGACACCTCAACCATGGGATGCATGAATAGCTCTACCTGCAAGCACTTCTTGATCACCCCTGAACCAAACCACCTCTGGGTTTACAGTCATAAGCTTCCTGGACTTATGAGCCTTCACCCTCTAATTACGAGACGCTCTTGACTCGGAGGTGTTGAAGCCCTCGAATTATAATGTCTGCTTTTTGCCAGCTTCCTCCACCCGGACTCCACCCATGTCTCTGTGTCATAAGAATGTCATAAGCAACCATGTTTTGCTTGTCATTGACCATAGACTTTACTTAAGACAACATCATAAAATGTTACATGATAGTCATAAGACGTTCATAGATTTACCACTCCGCAAAAGCAACAAGCCTTCCATCAGCAACAAAAGTTCTGAGTTACCCCGACCGCCGTGGCGGACGTCCGCCGTAAGAGCTGCTGCCCGCCGCCGCTGTCGCAGAAGACCACCGCCTCCGCCCACGCGTCCCGAGGCAGCAAGGGGGGGGCGGCCCGGTCTCAATGGATCTCTTGGGAGGTCGACCATCGGTATGGTTGAGTTGGTGAACATGGAGTAGATTAGCTGCCGAGTTCGGTCAGACATGCAAGAGTTTGTAAGTATAAGTGCAGTCGCTTCAAACAACTGTCTGCGAGCACAAGAGGAATTAGGTCATCCAAAACCTGGTGCTTTCTTATCCAAAAGTTTGAGTGGTGAGTTGGTGAACACCCTGATCGACCTTGCCCATCAATAAAAATAATCATCAATAACATGTGGTTTAAAACAGCAAGCTCCACTGAACGAACCTTAGGTCCTTAGTACCAAGTACCAATAGACCTCCCAGAACCTTTTGGGGGGGAGAACATCATTTTGAGCAATTTCCTTTCACCCAAAAGTGACATCATCTCCACACCTCAAAGGGCAAGCCATAGTCCAGCAATGCACGGGCCACCTGCGGTGCCCCATCTTTGCACATGGGGGCATCAACGGTCGGTGGCCCTTAAGAAACAGACCTGCAAGCAAGATCAAGCAAGGACATATGGCCAAGGAATTGGTATACAGCCAGGGTATATGGCCTGCTTGAGAGGTTGTGGGAGATGAATGTCAACGAATTCCAACGACCAGAAGCAAGCAACTTCTTCACTGCGTGAGGGAGTCGTTTTTCCGTCCGATTCTACAGTGCCCTCGGTGAGGTCGAGAAGAAGGGTTATCAAGTGAGGTCGAAGAAAACAAGAATGGTTGACCTAACTGGTTACCTATACTGGTCGAGCAAGTTAGGGCTATCAAGTTAGAATGGTCAATGCATCTCTTGCTGGGCGACTTCGTGATGACAGACAAAAAAACAAAAAAACAAAACATTTTTTGTGCATGGTTCCTATATGGGCTTGTACCTAAGCAACCACTTCTGGCATGACTGGTCTCGCTCATCTGTGGGCCACCTGCAAACTTTAGAGGCTTGGTAGACTTCAGCCCATCCCGTATGGCCTGTTCGTTGCTCAAGCCAGTAATCAAAGCCCCCACATCCTTGGCCAAAGGGTTCGAGAAGGATCAACATCCTCCAAACATCTCGATTACCCAAACCATCCATGTATGGAATATACCTACATTGCGATCATACATGGGGTCAATGCAAGTAACTATTCCATGCATCGGTGGTCTCGGTTTTGTCCATTGTTGCTGGACGCGCCACCCTCATTGTTGCTGGACACTCCAGAATCGATTATGAACACGTCTATCCGGAAGCCCATCATGTGTTCCATGAAGCAATTCCAGTGGTTTTGGGATTTGCTCATGCTTCCATCCTTTTTGGAATTCACGCATCCATTTGGGTGAAGATGGTGAAGAGGCCCCGATCGGGAAGGGCTCACTCTCTCAGCCTGTGACACCCATGGAAAATTGAGATCAAAAAATGATCAAAGAATTCACAGGGCACAAACCTTCATAGATCTATAGATCTCGCATGTTCTTCCATTGACCATCCATCAGTGTCCAGAGGCATCTGGCCAACTAGGGAGACATTCGCAGATCCATACCCAGACGCTCCATGTATGCCATACATGCCTACATTGGGGGTGGTTTGGGGGGTCAATGTAGGCATATATATTCCAGTCCCATGGAGTGTATGGGATAGATCACGGTTCTTTTCTGTCATTGCGTCTGGAGTCGTCTGTCGCTGTGTCTGCTGCTTTCGACCCGGGCCCAGCAGGAGGTCACAAGCCCTGCTTGAAAGCCCCCCGACATGGAAGCTACATGCATTGACTGGGCACAGTGACACATGTTCATGATGAGTATCCGACATGAAAATAGATGTTAACATAGCATGGGCCACAATGTGTTTAACAGCTGCTCCAAGGGCAAACAGGACATAAGTAATTGCTGGCAAAAAGAAAGAAGTACTAAGATGTACTAAGTATGTGTGTAGATAGTGCGGTGTTTAATGCAACCATACCACAAGCAGTAGCATTTCTTTTGGGATTTGGAGCTCTTCGACTTAAATAACCCCACCCGTGTCGTGTCTCACAGCGCCACACCAAGCTTCTATCAACGCATTCAAGGGCGGCTGGTGAGTGGCGACCCGCTGCAGCAAACGTTGGGCCTCAGGACAACTGGGGCGCCGACCGCAAGGCACACCTCCTCCCGGAGCTTCTCGCCCGAGCTACGCCCCCGTTGCGCACCGCGCGCGCGCCAACGCGCGCGGTAGGCGGAGGCGGTCGATCTCGCCGTCGACGGCGGTCGGAGTCGAAGGCCCGGACGTTCCAGCCCTCTTCCACGAGGGAGACTTGCACCACGAGCGGATCCGAGAGGGTCGTCAACATCTTGGCATCGTCACCTGGGAAGCGAGGAAGCCACGCGATGCTGACGGCATGGGGCGGTTGGCAAATGAGTCAAGAAGGGGGGGCAAGATTTGTTTGTTTTGTTCAAATCAAGTGGAAGATCTTGGATCTTGAGGTGTGGTGGCTGAGCATGGATGTCCAAAATAGTGGAATTAAACTGCGGGAACTTTCTCGTCAACTCAAAAGACTTCTGGCATCTTCTGGCAATGTGCGGCCTTCTTGGGAAGATCTGCTCCATTGAGTCCTAAAGTTGCGAGTGTGTCGGTGGAGGTTATTTGAGGGCATATCATGTCATTCATGAATTACAGTGGTAACTAGTTAAGTCTCAGAATCGCGGGCTGACAGGAAAGATGCGGTTACATTCATTTGGCAGTTTTGAGAATCAGGTCGAAATGAAGGAGTTCCCCTTCAACAGCGACCACAGTGACCATCGCGCTCCGTGCAAACTCTGAGGCTGTCAAGAACTGCCCCAGCACATACGTTCAAAGAAACTGAACTGGTAAAAGCTGGACTGTCAGAAGACTGTCCCACACTGAATCTGCCTCTCCCACTTTCCGAACTTCCACCACACCCCACCACACCCCACCTCCCTCCACCGCCCCCTGGCGCCTTGCGCGTAGCGGCACTGACCCAAGGAGCGCGGCAGCAAGTCGTTGGGCGTCCCGCTGAAGCCCAAGCGCGAGGAGCTGAGCACCTCGTCGTCCCATGAGGTCTTCAACGAGCCGCACCAATGGCGAGTCCTGGGTCCTGGACCCCTGGAAAAATGAACAGATTCTTCAATGAGGGATGTCAACCTACCATGCACTTGGTGAGAGAGGTTTTGGACTCATGGCCATATGGGTGTGTAATGTTGAATTACAAGCAATAAACCGTGAGTCAATCATCATCAGCTTTTTTGGCCTGCCAGGATTTGGCCATATATACTTTAAACGCTTTAAATTTCGCCAACATCCAGGGGGAGACCCCCTGACCCCAATGGGTTGAGTTGGTCTATCTTCCTTCTTTGAAGGGGGGGAGACCTCCGGCCTCCCGTCTCCGTCTCCGGCCTCGCCGCCCAAGTCTTGGCCGTTGGCCGATAACTTGGCGTCGGCGTGCTTCAGCAGCGCGGGAAAGACTTGATGCAGGTGGAACTCCTCGATGCAGCACGGTGGTCGTTACCGACGAGGTGACTGTATACAAACATCTTCCGTTTTTGACCCGTCTCCGTCTGTACCCGTGTGTTGTTGTTTTTTTGTGGTAAACCGGGATGGCCGGGACTTGTGATCATTCTCTGGTGGCATTGGAGTGCACAAGACTGGTTGTCAAAGGGCTGGTTGTTGGCACTGCTTCACTCACTAGAAGCCGTGTTTCCGTGGAAACACGCCGCCGCAAGGGCGGCACTCCGTCGGGCGCATCACTTTGGTTCAACACTTTGGCTCCGATCGGTTCCGCTGAGGGACCTCGGCCATGTGTGGAGGGTGGAGGCTCAGCCGTATAAGCAGCCCTGACCATGTGGAGGGCCTTTGGCTCCTGCAACCGCGAACTACATCACAACTCGACTGCACATTCTACTCTCCAGAGCCGTCCATGCAAGAAAGGGGGGGTTCTGTCGAAATCACATGGTGGGAGTTGACCCACATGAACTTCCAAAAGGCAGGGCAGCACCAACAAAGTCCTTTGCAAAAAAAATGTTGCCAACCTTGTACAGGATAAATTTGTATTGTCTTCTCACTTTCTAGCTATCAGTGGGATCAAACCGGTAGAACCAATCATCTTGTCATCTCTCAGAACAAGGTTCTAATGCTTTTGTTTACTCTCAATTTTGGAGGCTCTCCATTTGTCATTTTTTTCTCGCAAAAGGTAGTTCCAGTCAGTTTGTTTGTGGCCCACAACCCCAGGAATGGTAAATGCTCCTTGATAAGCAAAATGTTTGATTGTTCATGTCGTCTGATGGTTGCCGAACCATCTTTGCTGCGCCAAGCAACCATCAAGAAGGGTGAAGTCTTCATCACGCTATACCTCAGGCACAAGGTTTGTTTCGGCCACGGACGTGTTCTTTGGTCAGTTTTGCTCCGGCCAGGTGTCCTTCACCAAACAGGCACAAGGTTGTCAGCACCAGTTATGAGGTGTAACGTCTTGGAAAATGATTGAGACTGCTGAGTGCTGGCTTCAAACTTTGCTGCATTGGCTCTTTTCTTCGCTCCGGTGCTGGTCCAGGGCTTCAGGGATCCAGCTGTTGCCATAAGGACACCTGGCTCATCCCTGTCGATTTGACATCAACAAAACATGGAACAAACATGAACAAAGTCTATCGCCTCGAAGGTCTAACTGGTTTATGATGTGCTCCATTGGCCAAGAATGATTGGCGTCTGCCATCCTGCGGTGCGAATCACCAACATCACCACTTCTGCCCCCGAAAAGGAGCCGCCCGCGGAAACACCACCGCTGGGCCAAGGAACACCAAGGCCACTTGGGAAGCATCGCTGCTGTCCAACCACTCCAAGGGCGGCACCAGCTGCGTTTCTGAATCCTTGGCGCGACTCACACGGGAATGCCTAACCATCCTAACCCAAACACTCCATGTATGCCATATATATGCTTACATTATCTTACATGGGGGTGGTTTGGGGGGTCAATGTAGGCATATATGGCATACATGGAGTGTCTGCCTGATGTCACCAAAGCAAAGAATCAACAGGTGGATCATGCAGCTTGAAGCAGTTGACATATGTTTTCCAAGGGAACTGAGACATGTCATGGTGATTTCCTTTAGTACTACCAACAGAGGTTGAAGGACCCAAACGTTCGACCATCCCATAGGTACCCCAGGTGAACGGTCCTTTGTCAGGTCACTTAACCTCTCTTGGTATGACATGCAACTCCCAATGCCGAGTGTCGCATTCAACGACAGCATGAGACTCTGAATGCCTGGACCCGCACTAGTCACTACCGTAGATGGACGAAATATTCAAACCCTTTACCATCCTTTACCACATACACCTCCCCCCCATCCCCCAAAGCTCAGTGTTGACAGCATTTCCGGAGACTAAGCACGGCCGAGTGGACGAATCAACCCCAAAGGTACTGAACACACAATATGTTGCACTATGTTGAACTTGTAGCATTGAGATTTTGGGGTGCGGGGTCCATGGAGACAAAATGATGTTCTGGGGTTTGATCATCTACATCTATCTGTAGTCCACCAGTCAATGGATTCCGATTCGTACGTTGGAGGCATATCGAGTCGTTCCTTCATTTGCAATCCAACGAACCCATCAGCATGGAACCTTGAACCTATTAACGTGGCATGCGGCATGCCAACACACTATATTGCTCCAAAACCACCAGAGATAGCACCAACTCTGAGAAGCCCCATCACCCCAGAAAGGCTTCGTCCACCCAGATCTTCATCCCTCCAGCCTCGTCCCCTTCCCTCTCAGCGGAGGGTCGCTTCGATCGCTAAGGACCAAGTACTTGGGATCCCAAACCTCTCCGAAGCCCAGCCGGTCGGGTGTGGTGTGCTTGCGGTGGACACCGGTGACTGGAGCGAAGAGGCATGGACCGGTGGTGGCCTGGCCCTGGCTTTCGTCTGGGGTAGTGGTACAGACCTCGGTTGGGTACAGACTACAGACCTGAGTTGGGTATATCTCCCATGGCCTGGGTCCGGATGTTGAGTGGATGAAGGTGAGGTTGCAGGCCTGCAACCTCTAAAATCGTGATAGTTGTGTATTGACTGTTGCAGGTCATGAGAGACAAACTCTACATATGGTATAGGCTGCTTCTCGAGCTGTTCCACCAGGATGGACTATGGACTAAGTCTATCATATTCGTTCATGCGGCCAAAAGGGCGAGGAAGGCGGGTCGGAGCACGTGACGTACTGCATGTCTGCCCCCCCCCTGAACGTCCATATATCAATGGCATGCATAGAGAATCACTCTGCGAAGTGAAATGGATTCAACACCTACAAACATAGGGGCGCTCGTCTAGGAGCCAAACAGACCGGGTACGTATTGGCTTTGAACATGCCACACGCAAGGACTTCAAAAGGAATCCTGAATTAGGCTCCTCTTCAACTCGCTGCCTTCTTTGTTTGGTGCAACTCTGCATCGTTTCCAAACCTTGTCAATCCACCATCGAACCAAAACAATCTATATCCACTTCCCAGAAGACGGCGCCCTTCTCATCCATCTATACCACAGCTCTACACGATCCGCCACCCACCCAACCAACACGCACAAAAACCCGCCAAACAAACCGCAAAACGACACCAGCTTCACCAGCTTCTGTCTGTGCCTTCTCCGCAGCCAGCTTCTCTCCTCCTCGTACCGCGGCGCCCTGCAACTTCACCCACTCCGTCCAGCTCTGCCGGGCACCTGGGAGGCGAGCGTCCGAGCGTCCGAGCCCAGGTCCGAGAGCCGAACTGATATCAACTGAGATCCCTTAGGGATCCAGTCGTACCTTCTCAGGTTTTGGAGACGATTGATGTAGATGCGCCAGGAGGGCCCAGTCGTACCTCCTGAGAAGGTATGTGGATCTTCAGGGGATCATCAATCTTGGCAAAACATATCAGAGCAGGTAACCTCCTGGTGGCAGACTGCACTTTGGGGTTCAAATATTGTAAGTGCTCGGGTTGCAACCGCGCCTGCACGAAGTTTTTGATCATTCAAGTGCGGAGAAGACTCCAAAAAGTGAAAAGGCAGAAAGACTTGTTTCCTAGAACCGTGTACAGGGCACGAAACCAAGAGAACCACACTATATATGGAAAGGGCACGTGTTCTTCTCTCTTATGTTCCTTGGAATCGAGTACCTGTACCTTGGTTGGTGCTCAATCTGGGATCGAAACCAGCCCAAAGCCAGCCAGCCCATCAAAACCGTTAAAACAACGACATGGCCATTCGGCACGGTCACGCCCTCGGACGACATGGCTATGTCTGGTCCTTGCATGAACCTCCGCCTTTGTGGCGGTGGGGTTTGGGAACAAACCCTGCAGGGAGATCTAGGGAGTGGAGATCCTGCAGGGAACCAGCTCAGCTACCCTACCAGGAGTTCCATGTTGGCAACTGCCGAACCTTGGAGGAAGTCGGTGTGCCCAGAACATCCACTTCACTCACTGACAAAGTTATCCTTTGGAACTGGTGCACATCCTTCTATGTGTCAAACCACATAAAACATCATAAAACTAAACATATACATATATATATATATATTATAACTAGCATGATAACAGGAAGTGCTTTGTGTTTTACTTATTTTTGCGTGTCGTTCGCTGCGCATAGGAAAAATGGTCCATTCCATGGAAGAACTGTTTAGAAATGAATGATATCAAGTAGGCACAGTGTTTCAATGTTTTAGATATCTTGTTTGCGAACATTAAAATGATTTCATATGTTTCTCCTGCGAACATATTCATGTCACAATACATAGGGGGGCACCAACTATACCTTCCCAACACCCAAACATGTTGCAAACAAGCACATGATGTTCATCATCCAAAACCCACTTAGATTCACATGAGATTGATCTTACATGCCTCGAATTCCACTCTGATCCAGGGCACTGCGCCGCTCCAAACCATCACTGTCCAGGCGTCCCAAACGCCCCAGGCTCCGAAGCGCCAACTTCAGGTCCCCTGCGAAGCGTTCTCCGCGTGGCGTCCGGGAGTGGCTGGGAGGAGTGAGGGGCGTCCGGAGGGGCGTCCGGCGGGTTTTTGGGCATCCTGAAGCACCGAGGTCAGCAGAAGGTTTGGCATTTTAGAGCCAAACCAGAAGCCCAGACACACTAAATGATGTCATAGCTCACCATCTTCCAAGAATGAGGGTATGAACTTCACTTGGAAGTCATGCAAACATATTGAACAATGGTCAATCAAGCCAACCACTGACAACGTTGTATCTACAACACAGGGAGTAAACAAAACACATACATTGATTCTCTTGCATGGCGAAGCTGAAACTACCACACTACCACCTATACCAACCCAACACACCAGCACAACAACAACAATGCCGCAAACCGGGATCTGGAGCTGCCAGACCCCTCGGGTCTCGACATGGGGAGGTCCGGTCTGAGCCAAATGAATCGGTCTGATCAAACATACTCCTCAGCGTCCTCAACCCACCAGTCAGAGTCTCTCAAGTCAGACCGGGAGTGACTGAAAGCTCAAACAAGACGAAGCTCTCAAGTCAGTCTCTCTCGCACTGCCCCAAAAGCGCCCTTGCCATTGGCTTAATGCGTTCTCCAACACTTCACATCCACCCCCTTTCTGTCTGCCGGCTTCTTGTCTGCGCCAATGTTTTCATGTTTTCACAGGTCCAAATACAATGTTTACTGTTTTCATGTGTCCAAATGCCTTTTTTGGAAGACAAATGCCATGGGCACGATCAGATGCCTGGCCGCATGCCACCAAAGCGATAGGCCAACCATGTGAGCCTCGGCAGTGATGCTCGTGGCGAAGCGGGGTGCGGAGGT